TTCAGCTGGCGGAACCCTTTGGAGACTCTTTCCCTAGTGTCAGTTTAAGACTTTTCAGTTACTCAATGAACCAAATACCTTGACTGTCATTCAGAAAATTAGCCAGACTTGGAGTGCATTGCAAGAGAATGGCAATTCCTGGAGCTCCCATTATATATTCTAAAGGACAGAAAATTTGGGTTTCTTTTTCAGCTGCTAAAGTAAGGATTGATAGTGTTTTGATAAAAGCCATGTTTCTCTTTCCCACTCAAATATTAACAAATCTTGTACACCTGAAAGTACCTGGATTTTCTATCAGTGCTTTACTGGTAAGGTCAATCTTCTTAAGGTTATTTGAGCACTATAAGCAAAATTCTGCATTTCAGCTTTTATTTCTATTATTTTTTTTGCACTAGAGATTTCAGTTATATATACTTTTTCTCATCTATAACATCAGTGTAATATCTTTTCTTGCCATGTGAGTCTCAAGTGATAAAACGTCATCACGTTTTGTTTAGTCTTTATCAATATTTTACGTGTGCACAAAGTCTTCATTTCTGTGCTTTTTCCCACTGTAGTAAGGGGGGGGAAGGTTCAACATTTTCACACAGGTATGGCATGTGAAAATGTATCTGTTTGTTTGCAAAGGCTAATGTTATCAGAGGGAAACCCCTTTCTTTGGAGTACATGAGAAAAATGGTGAGAATAATCACAATAATAGAACATCTGGGTATTGAATGAATATGACACTAATAAAGTAGCTACTTTCACTGAGTGAAGAACTACAGTTTAATCTTGTGGTGTTATAGAGTGGAAATATTTCATCACAGCGTATGTTGATGGGACAGATCCAGCTACTCTGGTGCATTGCAAAAGCAGAAAGCTTTTCATTAACTTTTATCCTCTGTTCCTGGTACTCAATTAAATTAGGTTGTCTAGTCTTAGTCCACTGGCACCATTGTAACTTCCATTCACTCAGTCTGTTCCTTGAGATATGAAAAAAATACCTTGACTATAAAGCCAAGTATAAAATTAAGAGAGATCCAGATTCAGATACTCACACAGAGGTGGCTGCAGGAAAGAGTTTCATTCTGAAAGGTGTTCCTGTTCATGACAGATCAACACCGTCTCTTATAATCAAAACTGAATCCATTGACAAGAAGAATCACCCAAACAATAAGAAAAATACAATTTCCTTAGAAATAGAGATAACATTTTCAAAGTTCATACTATAATCCTGTTGAACTTGGATATCTAGTCACAGACTCAGTATTACATTGTGTGATAACATTGGTATCACTTGCATTTGGATTATGTTTTAATTACAGATTTTCACCAAGATAAATTTGCATTAGGCCATGGAAGAGATCTAATGAATTTCCTCATATCAGATTCTGTCTGGTAGTTCTATGAGTATATTATATTTAACTTCAACTTATGTTTAACCCCTCGGCCACTGTGTTCTCAGAACTGCTCCTTGTGAGTCCTGTGCCATCTTAAGATCACAAATGCTTCTCTGATACTACTGTAAAGGGTCAGAGCATTTCTTGTACCCTCTCTTTTATATGAACACTGAGCCATATATAGTGGCCAACAGTTCTCTTACTCCTTATGTGTCATGGGAAATACAGCCATATCAGTGAAACTTTTATTTTATTTTGCAGATTTTTAGTAGTCCTCTGTAGTTTTCAAGAAATACTGAATAAATATAGTCCCACTGATCCTGGTCCTGTCACTGTTCAGGTCGGAGATCTATCACAGACCATAGTGTGGCTCCTTCTAGCACTCAAAGCTTCCTTTTGATGGAAAATAGGGTGTATAGTAATTGGGTTGATATATATCTACATTTTGCCACAACATAAAAGCGAGGTCTGGGAGAAGCAGGCACTAACATCCAGGAAGTACATCTAAGTCCTTCAGTTTAAAATTCACTTTTTGAACCCAGAATCCCTGCTAAAGTAGGGCACGTGATCTGTAGCAAGAATAAAACAAAGCATCCCACATTTCTCTGCAGACTAGAACTGTATTTTTTTTAGTCTGAGATTGTCTTTAGCCTTCCTGCAAAAGAACACAGCAGAAGGAGTGGCCAACCTTGAGAGCCACCCCCATCAACCTCAAATTGTATCTCTCTGCGGAAAGCTTTGGCTTTCCAGGTGGGCTGCAGATCTTGTCATTGTCAAGAGAATAGAATAATGGCAAAGCATCCACTCTTTGGAGAATTGTCTCGTGTATGAATCCAGTCCAGATATTCTTTGTACAAAACATTCCAGCCATATGAAATCTCCAGCTATGAATCATTTTGTCTTAAATATGAGAAACTTGCTCCTCAGGTACACACTCCTGAAGCTTGTTCTTCTCAAACACCCCAAGGTGACAGGTTCTCTTGCTGCTGTTTCACATGGAATACCAAATCCTACCCCCTTTCCCATATGATAGCACTATTACTTTTAAGATTGTGTACTCCTAGACATTGTTTTCCTGTGGGATGGATGGCATAAGAGGCTGCAGAAAGGAGAAAGGGCATGAAGAAGGGACCCTTCAGGGCCTCCTGCTGGCACCCCCAGGGATATGGTGAGGCAGAAACAAGCCAGACAACCCTCAGAGGTAACTAAAATACCTTCCACTGCCCAGAAGGGACAGGCAGAGGTGGCTGCCCCTCAGGAGGTTGTTGTTAGTCACAGAGACCCATTTTGTTGATTAAATATTACCATCATGCCCTTGTCACACTAATTGGCTTTTACTAACAACAAATAATGAATTATACTTGATGACTGTCTGTCCACACCCCTGATTACAGAGCCCCTGTATCCCAAATGCTGTGTTTTACACAAGCAGTAATTAGCCTGTAATAACATACAACAGATATAGCTAGGATTGGTTTTTTTCAGAAGTCATTCTCAGTTCTTTGCTGCCACTGGCCTTGTTCTAACAGACTTCAAGGAGAAAATCTTGTCCTTGTATCTTGGGGAATCACCACCAATTTTTTGACAAAATTTCCATTTCCATCCTCCTCTTAAGGACCCTTTGTCTTTTTACAGTTCCACGAATTTTTTTCTGCAATCTCTCCAGCAGGTCAGAAAAAACAGTACGTTGTTAAATGCTTAGAACTTGATTTCAGGAAGTAAGACAGTCGGGGGGGGAGGGGGGGGGGAAGCAACTATTACATGGTACAGTGAAATCCCTTAGCTGCTGGTCTGTTCTGTAGCTTACAGTCTAACTAAAAATTTCCAGAGCATTCCAGAGTGTAAAGTCTCTGCACATCTGTGGGCCATGACAGGTCATTTTTTTTGTCTAATTCTTAGATTAACTTTGAGCTGGTAGATAACTTGTCTTAAAAGACTTAGTCTCTTTGGGCAGGAATGTACACACTATGGTCAGCAGCTTCACTACTAAATAAGCTCAAACCTTGTGTTCTCCAAGTTTGCATACCCTTGCCGAGTTCCATGTTATATGTCCCCTCTATACATGGAAGTCCCTGGAATTTGCACATATAACCAGGCTGTGGAATAGAAATTAGTTGCTCATGACACACCGAATGTTAGTGAAATGTCCATGAATTAGTATGGAAATTCCTCTCTATTTCCTTACAAATCTGAGTATTAACCTATTACACCTTTTTTTTGCTCACATACGTGATATTTTTCAAGTTGAAATAGGCTTAATCACACACACAAAAAAAATAATCTATCACTCTAACAAGTAGGCTTTCTGTCAGAAGAAAATAGATATTTTCTGAAATGCCTAAAAAAAGTATGTCTAAAATCCACTAATTTTTTCAAAGTGAACTTATAGGATTTCAAGGAATTGGGAGAAATTTGATAATCAAAGAAGTAGTTAATTATAGTCAATAGTATCTTAATTATAGTCTCTATCCATAAGATTACATGTACACTGTACCTTATTATTTCAATTTAAATACATGTTCCTCACAGCTTCAAAATTTGGTAAGAGCCTGTAGAAAAAATCAACGCTTCCTCTTACTACAGTTTTTCAAATTATTTCCACTGCTTGAACATTGAATGCAATTATTTTATATATTGGTCATTGTTGCCTTCCTTCTGCTCCTTCACTTAACAGAATCATTAAGTTGCTTTTGTGTGTTTGTTTTTTTAATCTGGTTTTTCCAGCCATCTCCCTGTAGGCCTAGTGGGGGAATAGGGATATACCTTCTGCCCTGTGCTAATGTGACTTTCTTACACGACTGAAGTCAACTCAGCATGTTTTATATAGAACTGTTTGTTTTATATACAAAGTTTGTATGTGAAAGTTTCTCACAAGAGGTTAAGAGTCCAACAGAATCCAACTGTAACCTATTCTTCTCCTGGTTATATCTCTTCTGTGAACCAGATTGTTTCCTTCTTAGTGGGTTGGAATTACCCTTTGAATAACTTATACATACTCTAATACTGCTGCATGGTATAATAAATGTATATGGTGCCCTATGGGTGTCACAGTTGGATTGTTAAGCATATGCCAAGGACATTTCTGCTCGTTTGTCAGTTTGGAGACAAATCCTGCTCCACTGAAGTAAAGCTGGCCTTAAGGCAGCACATAAAATATTACAGATTACTGATTTATCAAGTGACAGTAACTAATGACAGGGAACAAATGTTCTCCTTCCAAGTCAGTCAGTCTTCCCTCGTATATAAACATCGTCAGCGACCTGTCTAACAAAGCAACTCTTAGTTTTTGCCCAGCAATCGATGTGGCTGGTCTCTCTGTACTGCAGCAGCTGGTCTGCACTGGTAATTCCCAAGGATCTCTGCACACCATAATTCTCAGTGGTCTCTGTGAGAGTCAGGAATTCTCAGCAGCTGCCCAGGATCAACTGCTAGGAGATTAACGGGGGACTTCGGAGAGAGTGTTCCTCCTTACAGAGCTTGAAAGTGAATTTCATGTCCAACTACACTACAGCTACCTGGAAAGAGAAATTTAGTTCAGCAGCAGTGAAGCAGTTGAGCTGTGCTAGAACTTTACAGGCTTTAAAGAAAAAGTTAATTTTTATTTTCTTTTACCCACAGGTCTACCCACGGATAGCGCCGGCATTTTGGCACTACCTGCGGGTAGAAGTGAGTAGCGGGTATTTGAATACTCCCACGTCTTTACTTTACAGCTTACTAGTATTTCCTGACCTCCTAGTTTTGTCCATTGTGCAGAAATAATTAGCTGCCATTCTAGTTGCCATTTTTTCTGTGAATGTAGTCTTGTACTAATTCCATATTGGTTTGACTACGGTGTAATTACTAACCCAAGTCACAGAGATGTGTCAATATGCAGGATTAAAGAAAAAAACCTGAAATGTGAAAGTCAAGGCCATATCATGCATTATGACTATAGCACAGAATCAAAGTATGCAAATACATACCTGCACCTCCTTTTATAGACACATTTTACACTCATGAGAAGAATATGGAGCTTCAGTTCTGTTATATCATTTTTGCAAAGTTTGTTCAACTCAACTTGATATCATTTCTTCCCTCTTTTGTCCCTCAGGAGCATGAGCAGCTCAGCTATTCCTCCACAAGGTCCAAGGCTCCAAGTGTTATCATCACAGGTCTCAAGCCAGCCACCAAGTATATATTTCATATCAGAGTCAGGACGGCAGCAGGATACAGCGGCTATAGCCAGAAGTTTGAATTTGAAACTGGAGATGAAAGTAAGTTTCACTGAAGGGAAAAAAAAATACAATAGAAGTAGCATCTCATTCTAAAACAGTGAGACATTGGGAGTTTGAACGGCTGAACCCACACCATTTGCTTATCACAAAATGACCACTGCTGTGTGACAAAAAACAAGTAGGCCTCAGACTCACACTTCTGGATTTATAAGAAAAAACAGAAATTTTAGCCCAACACTGCAGCTGAAGGAATGTTCTCTTCCATAAAATTTCCTTATGGGTCCCTTCAACCTGAGGTATTCTAGGATTCTGTGATCATTTCTTTCCTTATAGCAGGCCTTCCTTTTGACGTCTAGAAATACCCTTAGTCAGGCTTTACTAAATCCAGCAGCCTCATGCAAGATCGCACAACAGTGATGGACTCTTTCCTCTGCAGTTTTTACTGCTCTCAGACTCTACAAATAAAAAAAAATGAAAATTTTTATATGCATTTCCATCAACCAGTAATTTGCCAGTAAGAAGCAAGAAGCCTACATGTTCCTTCAGAATTTGCAAAAAGGCTTGATGTGTGATGTTCGTGCGCTAGATTATTTTATATTTAAGTCATTTATCGTCCTGCATATTCAAAGAAATCAAAAACAAGGTATTTACATGCATTTGAGGTAAAATTAGCGTAGTAGATACAACACTAAAACACTCATTAATTAAATTACTTTAATTAACCAATTATGTATACCATGTTTTCATTAGTGTTTTGGAATTCAAGTTGCTTAAGCTAAAATACAGATTCAAAACTAAATAAGTGCTTCCAAGAGCACCCAGGGATTTGTGTTCCAATTTCACTTCTTCTTAATTTCTGTTTCAAAAATCAATCTGGGATAGATTTCCAAGTGCTTAATGCCTAATTGCACTTCTTAAAATTTTTTGGGTACTTAAACCAATTGGTTTGAAAAGGAGTTGAGCACTTGTGTGCTTTCAAGAATTTCAGTAGATCTTGATGCAACAAATATCTGGTGTTGGGCACCCAGGGATATAATTGATATAAAAATTAAACAATATTTAAACTTCTATGAGTCTAGTTGTGTTTGTGAAAATGTCACTTGCTCATCTGAACCAGGAAGACTGTGGTTCCAGTGGTGTTTCTCTCCTTGGTACTGCTGATAGAAATATCTCCTGGGAGTGGGAATCCACTCACTCTATCCCAGCCCCATCTCTCCTTCTCAATTCACTAGTACAACCGGGTCTTGGGCTCAGCTGAAAGTTTTGTGATTTTTTAATATACATTCTTCTCAATTATTCTGAAAGATACCAAATAATATTAGACCAGAGCGGACTACTGCAGCTCCCTCAATCTCTACCAATTAGGAACAACTTACTTGGTTAAAATTAGAAACAAGGTACTTTTGCAATTAATTTTTGTGGACTTTCGGTTAGCCAGATTTTAATTAATTTAAAGCTAATATTTTCATTAAAAGACTGGAAAAATAGAATCTTTTAAAAGTCTGTGCTGTTGACAGAAAATTTATCAACCAACAATCTCATAAAAAAATCATTCTCAATTGGCATTAGCTTGTAACATCCTTCAGCTCTCTGCTAATTGTACATGTTACAGAAGAGAAGAACTCCGGGACGAGTTGTAGGTAAACATTTACCCTGTTTGAATATTGACATAATTTGTGGATAGATAATGAGAAAGAGAGCAATTCAAAATGAGCATTTAAGAAAACTTAAAATTAACAGACTAGTTATACAAAATTATTGGCTCATCAGCTATGAGATGTGTATATCAATGTCCTAAAACATTCTGTCCTTGGCAGGACAGTGCTGTCGTGCCTTCTCCCATTTACTGGGTGAAACACTATCTGTACCAGTTCAGTTATATAGGATAAAATTAGATACATCATTAGTGGGAAAACTAAGACATTTTGGTGTGATTATTAATGGTGATGCATGAGGGAGAAAGAAGACCAACTCTGCAGCAGTAATGACAAAAGTTAGTTAATAATGCTGATGTGTTTTTTTGGGGAAACACCCTGGCTTATTGACCCCCAGGCTGAGACAGCCACTGCTTGGGGAGCATGTTGTTGTTGAGCTCTTCTCTTTGATGCAAAGACAAATAAATGAAGCTTTCCAAAGAGTAAAATTTGTACTTTCTTTGTGATCGGAGATGCAGTTACCTAGAATAGTCAGAAAAATTCTCTTCAAGGAAGCAGGGATGCATGAGTGGATGCTGTCAGGCATTTCTGCCCCTGTTTAAAGCTAAGAGGCTGCTGGGATATTTAATACCTTTACAGAGCATAGTAACTACTGCTTTTGACCATTTTATTAGTCCCTCTGTTTCAGCACCTTATGGGTAAAACACTTGTAGTAAAGGTGGCAGGGTTTAATACACTCCAGACACACACAGGTACCACTGCTGTGGCTGTAAGTTGAGGTATAACCTCACTTTTATCTATTGGAAGTACCAACTATCTGAATCACCACAAAAAAAGCTCTGGTCCTTCCTAACATAGAAGAAAATGCATTTTGAGAATAAAACCCCATTTGTCCTAGGGCAAATATGCTTTTATCTGTAACTGTAGTCCTCTGGTTTTTTTTCTCTCTCTCTTCTAACTTGCTCTTTATGGAAGACTTTGTTGCTGTTGCTGGTGTTGGTTTTGTTGGATTTTTTTTAAAATAAATGGTTCAATGCTTTTTTTTTTATTTATTTTCTAGAGAGGTAGTTTTTACTGTAGTACCTCCGTGCCTAGAGAAATTTGTAAAATATTGAATAATTTACAGCTGTTAGGCAGTGAAGTGTTTTCATGCTGTAGCTCTCCTGTGCAGGGCTTGTTCTAAAACCAAGCATATTTTCCATGTCAGCCTTTCCATCACTGGGAGAAAATAATCTGAAAGCAAAATGGTTGGCTTGTTCCAGAAGGGACCTAAGGGACAAACTAGCATTTTGCAATGAGGACTAGTACTTGGGCTGAACACAGTGATAACTGTAAACACATGATGATATTTAATCCAAAAGCAAGGTAGATTTGCATATGCTTTAAACCAGTCATATTAACAATAAAGAAATAAACATTTCAGAAATGTTATGGGAATACCTGATTAGGTATTTTATAAAATTGAAGACTATGAAAAAACAATTGGCCTGAAAACCTGATCTTGATGAAACTTTAACTTCCTTACCATAAGCACAGATGGTGACTTTCTTTTATTTCTAGATTCCCACGTTCTTCCCCCTTTTCTCACATCCAAAAAATCTACCTTTAGCTTTTCAACCTCAAAACATGCTGTTTTGGATTTGCCATTGGATTTGATTGAGAACCTTGAGCTCCATTCTTTCCAGAACTCCAAAGATCAAGAGAAGGGTCCAGAATCATTGATTCCAGTAAAGGTCCAATACTGGTTTAAGCACATGCTTTGATTCATGACTTGATAGAGAAGCCATCCCTAGGATTTTTAGAAATACATTGAATTACCAATGCAAAATGGAGATTATGCTTTTGCTTTTTAGAATGCTTGATGTTTTGACAGTAATGAATTTAATTTCTTGTTGGAACAAACAAATCGGCTGGCACATATGTCGTATTTAGAAACTGTCTTGTTGAATCTCTCTCCATGTCTGCTTAGTCCTACTGTTCAATATCAGTCAGCACTGGATGTCTCATTTTAATCTTGGAGTATTTCCTTACTATGTTTTATATTTTCAGTTATTCTTCACATTTGGGTTTGGTCTATCTGATTGCTCTACTATAGGTATCCAGAAGCCCCAGAGACCTCACTTTTCTTTTCCTCTGCATTTCCTAAACAAGAGAGACATCCTTGTTCGGATCTCAAACTGCTTGCACAGGCTCTCCATTATTCCACTGGTCAGGAAGTGAATGCTGGGGGAAACACTTGAAAGAAAGCTTTTCAAGTGAACATGTACCAAAAAGTTTTACATCCTTATGCTAGTGACAGCACTGTCTTTTCATCCTAAACATCCTTTTTAAGATCACCTTTCCTTTGCCTTCTCCCTTTCCCACATTCCCCCTTTGACTGGAGCCAATCAGCTCATTGTAAATGTAAAGGTTACCCTAATGAGACACCGTGTTTTACTTATCTGTTGTTCTTAAGCACTGTTGTTTACAATGCCTTGTAGAGCCATCTGACAGACAGTTCCTGTCTATTAGAGCTCCAGTTCTCACCATCCACACTTATCTATCTTACAACTGCTCACTATTATCTGTCTAGCTGTCTTTCTTGTCACTTTTTTATCTTTAAGTCTACTGGAAGGTCTGCTGCCTGATAGATGTCAAGTTGAAATATCTAAGGGATGTAGCTAGGAGAGAGGAGTGAGCTGTCATTAGGCCTTCCAGGTCTTTTATACCAAATACACAAACTTTTAAAATATTGTGGAGAAATTTGCTCAAAGAAAAGAAAGAGCAGAGCTGAAAGATTCTCTCTGTCTGTCACCCTCTTGTACCATGACTAAAACGTCTGCACCATTTCTTCCAGTCTGCCCAGTGAGGAAATGGAGAAGCTTTAGGATATTTCCCTTCAGCCCAGTGAGGAGGGAAAGTGCAGCTTCTCCTCCACACATTGGGATGAAGAACCCAGAGAGGAGCAGAGACAGGGTGTGGATGTCAAGAGTAGCTTGTAGGCACAGAACTGACACCAGACCGGATACAGGAGGGATATCTGGGCATGCTGTCAAGCAAGGAAGCTGGAACCATGCAATTAGACACTTTAAATGTCATTTCAGGCATTTAACCCGAGTTGAGCATGAGGATTAAGGGAAGTGAAGAGTTTATCTGGTTAATAATGTGTTATATACATGCTGCAGTTTTAAAATGAAGTCATCACTTTGACTAATCACATTAGTTGCAGGTACAATGTGTTTGAAGTATTTTGACACCTAAACATTACAGAATACTATTGAATCATCTGCTGGGATAAGTAACAAATTCTCCCTTTTCCTTGTCTTAGGCTACTAATTTTTTAAAGTATGTTTTCTGTCAAAATGAATTTACTGGCTTATGTATTCCTGTTGCACCAGTGCTTCCTCACCCCCTTGTCTATCAACTTCAACAAATGGAGTATGGCCCCATACATGGTATGGCCACATTCATCCCTGTGCTTACAGAGCTACTGATCATCCAGCACTGGATGGATTTGGATGGTGCAGAGTTGGCAGATATGAGACTGCACTGGACAGCATAGAGACAACAAAATATTGATTTTAGCTGTATGAGTACAGACAGTGTTGTCTAAAAATGAGATTCTGGGAGAAAAAAATGCTGTGTGCTTCTGTGATTAAATGCAGTAGTCTAATATGTACACACAAAGACATGAAATAAGGTTGCAGGAACTTGCTTGACTTTGCAACCTATCATAATTGTTTTTTAAACTGAGTTTTTCTGTCTTGAATAATCAAACTGGTTCTGAGGAGAAACATATACCAATGGGTATATGAGGGTCATATACCAATATGCACAGGAAAAATAAGGAAGAAAAAACAGGAAATTACAAAAAAGATTCAAGAACATGGAGACCAGAAGCAATTAAAGCTCTTAGTATTTACAACTTGAACTTCACCTTAAGAGAAGGCTGGAGAAATGAGAAAAGAACAGAGAGATTGAGAGACACACTAAATTTAATCTAGAATGGAAAAATGCTGTAAGAAAAAAAAATGTTGAGCGTCCCTGATTACTGTCTTCTCACTGCATAAATAGTGTTTTATGGAACCTTTTACCTGCGTGTGATAAGTCTGTGTATGTGCATACACATGTGCTTGTATGTGTGATGTTCACTGCACTGTGCCTTTATTGATTTTATTGAAAGATCACTTCAAGCAAAAATAAGTATTTCCATCATTTTACCTTACCTGCCTCTCTGTCAGTTTTTAAGAAATCCACATTTTCCAATTATACTTGTCTGTCATTTGACTTTTTTATCTGACAAGTAAATTAAGGTCATCTGGAAGTTTCAGGTTTGAAAGCTCCTTATAGTTATTTGGCTACTTGAGAAAAAGAAATCCTAATGTATTGGACTCTGACATCTCTGCCAACACAGTAAAATACAAACAAAACAACCAGAATGGTCACTTGTTAAGTACTTAAGTCTCAGCTAAAATTCATACTGCTTAGAGGTGGAAAGAACTAAAGCCAGGCTAGAATTTCTCCCCTTCATTACTGTGACTTTGGTTCCTGATAGAAAATATGTATTATTAAATGGATAGATTGGATTCTGTTTTAGCTAGAACTCCAGGAAATAGCATCTCCATCCAGGAGAAATGATCCAGGGCACACGACTTTCTCCATCTCCATAGCTGCAGGGTGCTGCTTCCGACCACAGAGTCGGTTCCTACATTTGCACCAAGAAAGGCCCTGAGTTGTTACCTTGGCAATGAATGTCTGTTGAAGGAAACTGCAGCCAATTTATCTTAGCTCATGGTTTGCTTTTCCTCTGCTGAATTCACTGTTTTTTCACCCATCTTTCTCCTATTAAAAACAAAAAAAGAGAGCTGCAGGCTGTTCCTTCACTTCCATTTTAGAGATGGGCAAGAAAGACTCCTCTGAAACCTTCTCCACTCACAACTGCCAACCGTGCCTGGCTGTAACAATCTTTGCAACATTTAGCACGACTCCCACTAGTCTGAAAATATTCAGCTTTTTGTTTGGAGAGCCTGTTATTATTTGCCTTGTTACTTGTGGGGCATGATATTTGTTATGTTGTATTTTTCCAACTAAATCTGACTCTGTGGAACATAATACAGCACACTGTAACTCCCATAACATCACTAGATATCATTTTGGAGATTAGCTATTTAGTGAGTATTTGCTACATCATTTATTGGAAAATGTGTATATTTAACTTGTCTACAGAAAGCTTATGACCACAGATACTGAGCGCCTTGTAATTTACTGCCTGTGCATGATTCCATAAAATTATATGGAGAGAAACCTAATGGCAGAAATTTAACAAGTTGCTTTTTTGCTGAAAATTTTACATAAACTACTGTTGTTTTTATTTGCTTTACCACTATTACAAAGCCAGTTTACACTGCTAGTTTCTAAACTCACACAAATATTATTTAGAAGCCAAATGTTTTTCTTGGAAACAGCATTTTACGGGGCTTTGGATGCAATGTGTGCGTTGTATTGGGCTTCATCAACTGCAAAGTGAGAGAATATAGCCTGTTGAGATTTCTAGGCAGCAGCCTTGGTGACTTCCCTAAGCTGTAATCAACTGGTGCCAAAAGAAAGCTGAAGATTTTGCTTATTGAACAGTTTACAAGTTTAAAATATCAAAGTTGCTTTCCTGACAAAAGTAAAAATTATTTTCTTTTCTTTTTTACTACTCTTGTCAGAGGTCATTGAATAGAATTATTTATTCTCCTTTCAAAACAATGTTTTATTTCCCATGGAAATAGAAAGTAAGAATTGGGTAAATGTCATGTGGTGAAAATGTTCAAGTGTAACTGAGTTCAACAAATAAAACTCTGAAGTCACAAGGCAGGAGATAGAGAAAAAAACAAGCCTAATTCTTTTTCTACTCATGTAGTACTTGGACAGTGAGGACCAATCTCACTGTAAGTACGTACTTTGTCAATGTAAAAAGTTAATATTATGCACAATTTATTAATATTAATTAAAAAAGCAAGTGTCTGGAGACCAGGTGATCTTTTTTAACTCCTAAACATCCTACAAAAAGCAGAGAGAAAAACACGAGGCATAAGAAAATTAATTTTATTTTTTTTCAGCTACAGTGTTGACAATCCCCAAAGCATATTGTGGGAAAACTCTATGCATTTTGTGTCAATAAAAATAAACACCAGACATTCTGAAGTGTCTGTGAAGCTCCACATTTTTCTTTTTCTGCTTTGCTTCCTCCTGAAGCTGGTTTAGTATCTCTTACATGCACAGCTCTGCTGAAGACTTCATGGGCCAGGTGGATGGAGAGAAGTTCTGAATTAGATGCAGGATTAAGATAAATAAAGCTATAGACGAAAATGCAGTTTTGTGTCCAAAATCCTGTCATATTCAAACTTAAGTCAACTACAAGTTTCTGATAATGCCAACTCCTCTTTTTAAAAGCCTGTAAACACCTTCTCCCTTCCTCCTGCTTGTGACATGGATTATGGTTTCTCACTTCACAGACATTCTCATCTGATGACCTTGCTAAGCAAGGGGAAACTATTATAAATGATTTGACCACTGAAATGTTTTCACCCATCCCTCAAAACCCCTGGGTGGTGGAGCATTAACCTCTTTTCTTTGTGCTTCTCTTTCAGCTTCTGATATGGCTGCGGAGCAGGGGCAGATTCTTGTCATTGCCACTGCTGCTGTTGGTGGATTCACTCTCCTGGTCATCCTCACTTTGTTCTTCCTGATCACTGGGAGGTAATTAAAGCTACAGCGTTCTCATTTAGGCAGGGTCGGAACCATCTAAAACTAAGAATTTAAGAATAATAGTTAAATCATTAAACCACATTTTCAGTGCTGAAATGAAGATTAAACAGTGGGGTGAACACCTTCTTTGGGTCTTACTCACAGTTCTCTCATGAGTGCTGTTTCCCATAACGACTCAGTTTGGGCAGACAAGCAACTATGTGAAATCAGGAAATAGCTTGGATATTTTAAAAATAAGTTTCTGGACCTCTTACCTCCATAGTGAAAATTTAAAAACACATTGTACCTGCTGCACCTTCAAGGCTCTGACATTACAAGAAAAAAAAAAAGGAAAGAAAAAAATCCTACAATATATTTTATAAAATCTCATAACTGTAAATTGCAAAGCTTTGGAGGGTGCAACCCTAGGATTTTTGATGTCTTGGAATTGGCAATGTAGCTTGCTAAATACACTTGAATGGACTATTTTTTATTACTTTCCCTATATTAAATTTGTAGGACAAGCCATACAAAATTATGCACCTATTTTATATGCACATTTCTGCATCTCTTAAGATAAAAAGTAGGAATTATATTAGAAATTAAACTAAGGAATACTATACTCTGAAACACTAGAATGATTCTTCTGCTTGTGGTATCACTGGCAAACAGAAAATAGTTTCCTAAAGGTCCTGTTTTATTGCTTTCTGGCTTTTTTTTTTAAAGATTGAAGATATCCCAATTAAATCTGTGTTGCAGCAGTACTGCTGCACTGGCAGGGGAATTCACCAGTCTGGACAATGTGGGTTTTTTTATAACTAGCCAACTCTTGTGCTTACAATTCTTTCAATGCAGTGCCCTTTGTCCGCCTTTCTTCAGTCGATGTGTTGATTAGGATCAAATAATGACATTATGCAAATTGGATGAGGAAGCATTTTGGTTTGAGTGGCCAGATGCCGTGCTGAATTGCACAGTGAAGGTTTTAAGGGAACTCACAAATTCTAACTGGACATGCTAAAAAAGACATGTGTAGGTAGGAACACCAGTCCTTGCTGGAGCTCAGATTCCCACAGGCACAACTCCTTCCAGGGTGCCTTTTTTCCTTTTTCACTGAGCCTGGGGTGTTTCCTGCATGATTTCGGGACTTCACCTGCTTCCACCTGGAAGCAAAACAAAATTTAAAAGGACAAAGAGATTATGATCCCATCTCCTCTGTGAGACCTGGGAGTTTGTGTGGGCTCTGACTCCTCTCTATCCTTTTTCCCTTTCACTCCTTCAGACACACAAAAAAAGATGCTGGAAGAGCCTCCATGTGAGTAGGATTCTCCATGGAGTTTCCTTCTTACCTGGCTTGGGGACAGAAAAAATCCAGAGTTAGGAAAAGATTCTGCACTCCCACTGTCCTGGTTTAGGGTCTATGTTTACACTGCCAGAAAAGAAGTTACACTTCAGTCTTCTGAATGTGATAATGGTCATCAGAGACAGGGCTGATATTAATGGACTGTGTGGCACTTTTAAATTTGTAATTATATTTCTGTTTTGTTGGTATAGCATTACCTCTAACTTGAAAAGAAAGTGAAGTTCTATCAGTGTAGGCCAGAGGTTTTATTTGCAATACCTCAGCAAGCACAGTAGCTGCCATTATGTGAATTAATGTTCTTTCTGCTAAATAATAAAACCAATTAAGTCTAACTTTCTGTTGAACTTGATGAGAGCAGTTAACCTTGGAACATACTATGACCTTAAATAATCTTAGAAGCTAAGTAAATATTCCTGCCATTACTACAGAAGCTGACAAACAGCAAGGTCTTTCAGATGACAGAGGAATTATTTAGACAAACTTCCGGAAAAAATAACCGTGTGGAATCCTAATGTGAAATCCTGAAGCATAACTCAAACACTTCCTCTAGAAAAAAAACATCACTAAACTCAGGAATGAAAAAAAAAATATGGAAATGGGTTTCTTTTGGTTTATTCCTCCTGTTTGCCAGCATTAAGGATATCGGAGATTCTCTTAGCTTTCTAATGCCTTACTCAAAGGGACCATTTCAATTATGTAAGATACGAATTCATTTTGAAGTGCTGCTTAAATGCAGTGATAAGAGTGTATTCCACAGAAGACAGAGCAAGAAAATTTTGAATAAATACTCAATTTACTCTAGGACTGGAGGCAAATTTCAGTATAAAAAATGCGACTGGTACCCTACAGATGTGCTCTGCTCCAGTGTTTAGAATTAACAATTTGATGAGCTGTCGAGTCTCCGGGCTGCTGATGAGTCTATTCATAGTGGAGAGGCTGGGTTAAATGAGCACCTGGCTCTGCACTTTGCTGAGTGATTACCCACCCAGAGCAAGCAGGAAGCACGACTGTCAGTCCTAGAGAGAAAAATGAAAGCAGCAGAGACTTGGAGGCACAGGACAGGGGATCTTGGCTTAATTCCAGGAAATGTGATGTTAAAGCTCAGTATGATTCAGTCTTATCATTGCAGAAATTATTCCTCTCTGACTGTTCTGTAGCCAACACGAGCAGAGAATGAGGAGACTCCTCTGCTGGTGATCAATCACTGGCCACTGTAGTCACACTTTGGGGCCACACTTGTCAGGACTGGACAGGGTTAAAGTCTTTCTGTTTGACTGTTCCCTTGGGCAGACACTTGAAGTATACGAACTCCTATTTAGTGTTCCTGGCACTTGCCCCCCTACAGACCAGTTGTTCAGGTCCTAAAAATGGCTCTGTCATCCTTAGTGGTCACAGCGACTGGTTTCCAATCTCTAGGCTTACACAGAATCTGAGAATCCACTGGTTTGCATCTCCCTCCACGAGGGTACAGAATTTTCTGCCCATTCATCATTACCTGTGTAGCAGTGAATGAATTTGTGAGTGTTCTTATTGTGTTCCAGCAGTTTAAACTAACCATTGAAATGAGGTGGGGGTGTTCACCTGTTTCTCATATCATCATTGTTTGTGTAGATATATTGCCTTTAATTAATGTTTATTTAATTTTATAAGACTGGTAATGTACATAGAGAGGACAGTCATTTTTTTCCAAGCTGGTTTTGGGACTGTATGTCTGTACACTAAATAACATGTCCCCGGGCACTGCTCTTCTCCGCTGGGTTCAGTGCCTCAACAGCCCTTAGACCAAAAGGTTTCCCTCTAAATAATAATTCTTAGGCTGTTCAGAGGGTGAGAGCGAGCTTCAAGACCAAGATCAAATATTTTGTTTTTTTCTTGACTGAGACAGTTGCTGCTACCATGTGACCCTCTAAATCAGCATTAACAGGTTGGCAGCATTCAGGCTGGGGAAGATTTCATTACCAGGAACCCAAAAACTTGCCATGTGGCAGTTTTCTCCAACATATACCCTTGCGTTGTCAGATATGGTTGCTGACAATTCACGAACTTCCACTGAGTTTTGGGTTGTTTGCCAAGGATTTGCAATTTTATAGTAATCATAGAGGCATATGCTAAAACCTAATGTTTATCCTGTATGATATTTGCTATCTTAGAAGAAAAAATAAATGAGTGCCTGGCTCACACTGCACAGAACCACTCAGCAAAAAGAAAGAAAAAAAGTGATCCTGATGTGAAGAAAAATATTTCTTTTTTCATGAAATGTAGTGAAGTCATTATTATTCAATTAGGAAGAAAATGTGAGCTTTTTTCACCCACTGTATATGAAAGTTAATAGGATAAGGTTTAATTACCACCAACTTACATATGCAAACAGGAATGCAGGGAAGTGATAATTTATTAAAGTATCAGAATTCTTTGAAGGAGTCAAACCTGAAATAAAATTTTGAATGAAATTTAAACTCAAGTAGTCACTTTCATGCTAATAATTCAACTCTGATCTGTTTTTCTTTGTATGTAATCTATTTGTAGTTCTTCATATTTCCCTCTTTAGATTCATAACTAAATGTGTATTCCAAATGCAAAGATTCTGGTTTTCATAACAGGGCAGATAAAACTTAATGTACATTTATTTTATCCATGGCAAGTATTTTATGTAAAACCTCACTTGTTTTCTTGAAAGATGCCAGTGGTACATAAAGGCCAAAATGAAATCTGAGGAGAAAAGAAGGGCTCATTTGCAAAATGGACATTGTAAGTAGTTCAACACTGTGTTACATAATATCTATATCACGTTTTAAATGAAGAATGTTCATTGTTTCCTGGATAGCTTTTTCCCCTGCTATTTTAATCTGGTCATTTGAGTAGTTCCTTACTGTCTGCATCATCAAAGATGGGGGGGGTTATGTCCTCTTGAACAATTTCACTAAATTCACTCTAGTTATTATGGGGTTTTTTTTCATTCAATTATTAATATTTAATCAGTTTTTCGTGCATATTTCTGTGACGTCTCAGTTGTTCTTGACATTAAATTTCTGCCTCAAAGTTCCTCTCTTGGTGACTATGTGACTTATTTGTATCTAGTTCTCTTTGGATTTAGGGATCTACACTTCCAGCCACCCAAGAAATAAGAAGTGGAATGGGTTGTCTTTCCTCATGTTCCTGCTCACTGATCAGTACAGTGAAAGAAAATCCTACCAGTCTCTCACGGGCAGTACATCAGTTCATATAGTTTAGTTTAGCTACCTAGTTTAAATTAGTTGCCTTACTAGTCTGGTTTTTTATTCCAAGGGTATTATACAAAGGGTACAAAATTTTATTTTTTCGTCATTTTGGTAGCACCCCTGGAAATACCGTGATCAACACAGAAGTTAAGTCACCAGAAGTAAAATCTTTTTACAGGTGACACCACTATATCTAGCCAAGTGCCTCTTTCTGTCAAGGAAAAGGGTACATTTACCCATAAAGTATACTTCCTAGAAATATTTGTTTGCCATTTGTTTCCAAGCATGGTCAGAAATTAAAGAGGACAAAAGCCTTCCAGCAGGAGAGTTTGATTTATGCCTCTGAATCTGTGACTGAATTTAAAAGAAAGCCTCATTCAGTGTCTTTCAGGCTGGGGTAAATGGTACCTGTATTTCATGTTGACACAAAGCTTCATCTCAGAGGCTTCTCGGTCATTTCAAGTTATCTCAGCATCACACTGGAGGGGGCAAATGTCTGCTCGTGTATGTGCTCCACAGAACCAAGGATAAAGCGCAATTATTGTGATTTACCCCAGCAGCCAAGCCTGTACTGCCAACAATATTCCCTCCTTTACACTAAACAGCACCTGCATAAATACATCCTTCATGCAACAACCTTTGCCTAGCTGCAGGCTGCCTATGGATTTGGGATCCACCATCTCAACCTGAAACAACACCTGGGACTGTGCAATCGCTCCCAGGACCAGCATAAGGGTGACCACTCCCAGACTGGCTGAAGCTCATCACATAATGAACTGCTTTAGACTCAGCTATTAAGTGATAAGAGGAATGACTGAGAAATGCTGAATTCTTTTTAAAGGGATTCTCTGGACCCAGCTACAGTAGCCTCCTTTTATCCCGATAAGTGGATGCATTATTTACATCAACTTCTGTTAATGGATTGAAAGTTTTCCAGAACTTAATCATCACATGGCAGCAGCCTGAAAAGGATTTCCATCCAGACAGTCCAAGAGAAACAATGATAAGTTCTTGAACATGCCATACTCAGGAACATAAGGGATGTCAGGAGTGCCAGCAAATGATGGCTTGCCCGAGCCTTCCAAAGCCATCTGGCACCATCCCACTCTTGCCACGGCCATCTCCAAGGAAACAGCCAGGAATTATCAAAGCCTTGGAAATGGATTTGGATATTTTTGTTCTCATCTTGCACCTGGCTCTCTGGTTGTTCCAGCTGACCAGTGGAGGACAAAGCAGCACAGTCCTCCAGGACTCATCCTTAGAGGAAAGGATCTCAAAAATTTGACCTGTTTGGTAAAAGGAATGTTCAGCCACCCACTGCTAAATGAAAGGAGTGAATTAGGAACCCGTGTTTTCAAAGTAAAGGAGAGGTTGCCTAAATTGCCCAAGGAGCAGTGAAGGGGAATATAAGCTGCCTTGGCTGCTAGTCTTGAGGCTCTTCCCCATATCACTGAACCCTCACTTGGTGTCACTTTAGACAGCCTTTCAAGTGACCAGCTCATATTTTCTCATGACTTGCTGCATTTTCCAAATTTACCAGCTGTACTTGAAGCATTCTTTAAGGATATAAGCTAAGTACTGAGGCTCCAAGGAGCCTCTTCAGACTAAAATATTAAATAGAATTCAGAAAGGAAATGCTTACAATTTAAAAAAAAAAAAAAAAAAAAAAAGAAAAGAAAAGAAAAGAAGAAGAAGAATGTAATTTAACATACCCAAAATCAAAATTGCATTTTCCTTACAATTTAACTAGGGCTGATATTTTGTCCTAGGAAGAATTTTCCAAAAACTTTATTGTCCTCTTAATTTTCCTGCCTGAAATGCTGTTTCTCAGGAGATGCTTGTTTTCATCTGGGACAGAGACAAAACAGCATAAGAATTCAGCACTCTCTTATCAAGTTAAATACCAAAGACTGAGTTTTATTAAGGCCTTTGAAATTTTCTTCCCATGGGACAGAATAAACTCTGGGACTCATGTAACTGGCAAACTTGACAGTAACTAGAGGTATAAATAACCTTCAGAGAAACTAATACTGGTATTTTCTCCATTCCATATGATAACACTGATTATCAGTCATCATTGCAAACTGGAAGGATGTTTGTTGTAACAATGCACCAATCCTGAAGAAGTATCCGTGCTTTCAGTCACCCAGAACACCTCAGAAGGTTTGAGCAGGGCCCAGCAGGACCTTTTTACGCTTTCAGTCAGTACTTTGGAATGCTTTTGCTAGTGTTGGGTTGTCAGAGAATCGTTCTCTGTCTATGGAGTTGTAAGAACCAGCTCATTAGTGTCTTAGAAGCCTCACCTAAATAAACCACTTGAAAGATAAGAGGAAATGTTTAAGCCTGTGCTCAATCTTTGATGGCCCAAATGGGGACAACTCATGCATTTTGCAGTTGGCTCTGCGAAATCAGTAGCAAGCATTAGTAATTTGGGGTCATTATCCTCTTCTGTTGGGTTCTGGAACTTTAAACGTGGAAGATTTAATAATTTATTTCCAATCCTTTCAGTTGTCTAGTTTAAAAATAAATAAATAAATAAATCTTGTTGCAGTGCACAATGTCAAAGTTCTTGATTCCTGTTATTCTCTGGTTTTTTTGCAGTGCGTTTCCCAGGACTCAAAACATACATCGATCCAGACACGTATGAAGACCCATCTCTTGCTGTCCATGAGTTTGCAAAGGAGATAGATCCTTCAAGAATTCGTATTGAAAGAGTTATTGGGGCAGGTAAAACTATACCCACTTAAAAAAGAAACGTCCAGGCCTGGCAAGGCTGCTTTTCTTGAGTCACCAGGATAACACAAGTGGTCAAGTATAGCAGAAAATTGTGGGTGTGTTTCTCTGACAGTCCTCTCTAAAGTGTGGTGTATCTGAGGTGTTGTATCCAGCTAGTGCTCCAAATATTTTCATATTTAAATCCGGAGTTCTCTAAAGGGAGATTCTCCAACACAATATTTTATCCTAAATGTTTTTTAGGGCTTTATAATTTTTCTGGGTAGGGTTGGTTTTTTGCCGTGTTTGTTAGGGGTTTGGTTTTTTTTCCAGATGCACTCAAACCCTTGTGTCACTCAGCATTTGCCATAGTTATTGTCATGTGTTCTCAGTCACTGAGCGTGAAATTAGATCAGAATTTCTTTCTGTGGGGAGATAAGTTCAGAATGTAAAAGACTGAGAAAAAGTTATCCTCAAATAAAAAACAGGGGGAGGATGAGGGGAGGGAAAGGAAAGGCTGGCTTGGGACAGGCTTTCCTGTGTGGAGAAGGATCATTAGCAGAGGGGAAAAAGGAAATTCTGTTAAGGAGGTGGAGACAGTATGAAAGGTGATGGGGACTTGAAAAGCAGGATGAATGGAAAAATAGCTTCATGATCTCCTCCTATATCCCTATTAGTTCAAGTGTGTGGTGGAGACAGAAAGGAATTACATCTGATCAATTGTTTTAGACTGTTCTCAGGTATGGAGCATTTACCTTCAGTTGAGAACATCTCACTGGGGTTATAGGCCACTTCACAGCTGTTTGATAATGTTTCAGAAGTTCATTCATCCTGTATGTACATTGTTCTTTTTTCCCTAGGGGAGATAACGTGCCCCTTGTGTTTTCAGGGATCCTACTTTTGTTGATGTGCAATGTCTACTCCGTGCATTAAGTGTTATCCTCTTGTCTGAGGTTTGGTTTAATTGTCAGGTTTTACTGCTCAGGAAAATGATGTACAAGTATTCCCACACATTCACTTCTGGAAAGTCTTTGTGGAGTTAAAGGCTCATGGTTGCCTTCTAGAGTTCACTAGAGGTCCTGATGGTATTGTCACCAGCTCAATGGTGACAGAAAACACACCTTTGAGGTTAACACAACAAAAGTGAAATACTTGTAAAAAACAGTCTTGTAAAACCATTTCTTGTGTTCTGACTATGTGGGGCAGAAAACATTTCATTGTTGTCCAGGGCCTGAGATTGTTTGCTGTGTTTTACTCAGTTCATGGTTTATTGAGGACTTAGAGAGACAAGGCCAGAAAAGGGCCTTACAAACTTACCTAACTAGTGGATCTCAATGCACAGCTTATGACCAACATGCCATTCAGAAGGACCACCAACGTTTCTTACAGTTATAGCAAATTAAAACAAAAAACAGACTGACAAGGAGAGTCTGGAGTTCCTGTGGTACTTTACATTTTCTGTGTTGTTACCCTATAATGGCTGAGGAGAATTAATCATTTCTCAACCCCAACAGAAGGGGAAGGTGGGAGAGCTGAGAGTCTGTGTCAGAAATTTTGATGAATGTAGGAACAGAATCCAGCTCTGAAATATAATTTCTTCCTGCAAAGGAGATTAACACTCCCTGTCTTCATATTACACAGTATGGATATTTCTCTGTGTCCTCAAGATATTAAAAGTGACTAAATTTTGTAAATTGTTGTGTTAAAGGTGCTTACAGTACTGACTGCACAGATGTTCACCTCAATGTAAATTTATTTAGTGTGTTCCATGCTCCAGTGCCCATCTTTGAGCTACCGGGCTTTCTTTAACAATGCTGTTTTATTACTTACTTACTTTTACCTTATTTACTTTCTTAAGCTTTAATGCCATGAAGAAAAAAAATGAAATCATTCACAATACAACAGACTTAAAAAATCAGTTACATCTTGTAAAAGGGGTTCAGTGGAAAGAAAACCTCGTTTTAATTTGCTCATAGTGAACCCACCAAAGAACTCATGTTGGAGAGTATTGCCAGGAAAATTAGTCAGAAGACATAATGCACTGTGATCCTTTTTTTTATCTCTGTTTCATATATCTTAGTCACTCTAGAAAGGAGAAGTATTTTTCCCTTAAGATCCCTCATTTAATGATACGTTACTACAATGACAAGAGCAGAAATAGCTTCAGTGTTGCTCAAAAGTGCTTTATGCACTAGAAAAGGTGATGTAAATAATATAACAGAAATGAAACCATGTCTGTTAACAAACAGGGGAGAAAAGTATTGGCCTGAAAGTAAGAGGGACAGTTCTGTTTCCCAGTGCAGTCCATATCTCTGGAGTACTTCAGTCCACCTGATTGCTTAAGCCACAAAATATGTAGTTCTGTGCAGCTTTGAAATTATGAGCTTGAGAGAGCCCCCAGAGGGCTGATTTCTGCAGAAAACCTTCTATCTGATTTCTTTTATTTCTTCCTTTTCTTCAGACATACTATAGATATTGATATCTTGGATTATAAAGCATTTTGAACTACATTAACACTAACACTAATGTAACTACTGATTTCCAAGCAGTTGAATACCATAGGCAAGGATTGGGTTTATTGATTTTAGTTCAGATTAAAATTGTGTCCTTACTCTCAATTAATTCATGAAAATTCTTTGCTCAGCTTCTTTCCCCCTTTTCTTTTATGTGGGGGAGTGTATACTTTGACATTTTATTTTTATGTTTTTTATTTTTCTAAAATTACTTGGGCAATTTGCCATCTTCAAAAATATTCACCTACTAGGACTTGCAAACTGCTTGAAATGAAATTTAAACCTATTTCTATGCAGGCAAGATACAGGTTAAATACCATGGCTGAGGCACAGAGACTACAAATTCTTACACAGTTCTTTAATAGCTACCAAGGGACATAACATATTAGCATAATTCACAACAGTCCTAAAACTTTCTCTATGAATTCTCTCTAATTCTATATTAAACATTTCAACTGGATATAAAATGCATTTCTTATCACAGGAGAATTACTTATAAAGATACTTAAATTTTCACCTAAGCGAAACCAAAAATCAATATCTTTTACAAAATGAAACATCAATATCTTTTAAGAAGATATTGATGCATTTCTTAAATTTGTTCTGTTTTAGCAATTTATTTTGGTCAATGATTTTCGGTTTTAATTTCTGTAACTTTAATTTTTCAGACAACAATTATTTGCATTCAAGAACTAAAAGTTTTCATTTTCAGTTTTTAAAAACTGATCCTATTAACCATGTTACACAGACAATTGGGTCTGATCCTTCAGTGTCAAGTCCTAGTAACATAAAGGTAGTATTATATGATATTAAAAAAAGAGGAAAATGTCTAAAATTGTTGCTTACACACTGACTGCTCCAAATAACGATGATTTTCCATCAGATATTAAAAAAAGGTTCAGAGAAGGTGGCAAGAAATGGTCAAATTGAAAAAGCAGCAAAAACTTCTAGCAGAAACAGCAGATTGGAAAATAGCCTTTAGTAGTAACAAAGATCAAGATGACACTTGGCCAGCAACAGTCAAAGATTTCATAGCCAAAATAAAAAGGTAATGTCTCTACATTTATTTGTAGATTAAATTAACGCTACTATTGCAAATTCATCTCATTAGGCAGGTAAGAGTAAGAAAAGCAAAGCAGCAACAGTTTAATAATAGACACTGAGTTTGTGAGATTACTTCAAGAAGAAAATGGTGCAACCTCTGTTAAAATCCTTTTCCAGGTCCTCCTGGTTGACTTTTACTGAGCTGATGTTTTTGAAGGCAACCACAATGTTCTGTGGAGACAGTTAATTGAAAGTTTGATCTCAGCTCTCCCAGTCTCCCCTCTGACACGCTTTTGGCATTCCAGCACATCTCCAAACACTCTGAATTACTGTCCTTTTTTCTGATGCCTTGGACAAAACAAGGCAAAGTGAACTACATAACTTGCAAAGTCCTCTCTAAATTATTCAGGCTTTACCTACTCCAGGTGTAGACACAAAATATCATCATTAAAGTAACAATATCTGCCCATAAATATAGATTCAAGATGGATGCACAGACAGATTTCTGCCCCTGAGCAGCTTCCCATCATCTCCTGTCTTACATCTAGTTCATCTGAGTCAAAAAAACTAGTTTTATAGACCTTTTGACTGAATGAAAAATTATCCAAGTTAATAGCTGTTAATGGTCTTTTTTGTTATTCTTCTAATATCTTCTCACTCTGTCCTCCTGTCTCAAACAGGAAGGTAAATGCAGTAGGGGAAACAGTTTACAACCAAAATGGAATTTGCAGTTTGATAAAAAATTCGTAATAACAAGCAGATTACAATCCAAAAAGCAAAACAGGACCTATTTGTGTTACCTGCTTAGCTTGTGATAACACCAACCAAATAAACATGTATTAATGAAGCTCACTTTCTAGCAATAGTTACAATGATAATTGTTTAAATGGTGCAATTCCCTTTTATTTTATCTGCTCCTTATGACAAAGTTTTAGTATTGTTTAATATTGTATTGAATATTCTTGGATTCAAAACTCTTGGCTGATTTTTTTTAATCACTAATATCAAATATTCCATCAGATCTCATATTGGTTTATTCCAAAGATCACCATGTGCCTTTTTGCCAGTTCCCAAAATTTGCCATCAATTCGTTACCGTAGATTTTCTTCAGATGGTCCCTTTCAGCAACTCTCATATTGAGCTTGCTGCACCTACTGACATTTTATCATATTATTTGTTTTTATCTTGCCCATGACACTTTTTTCTGCCCCCTCACTTCTTGCTGTTTGGTTTAAGGCTTCAGCACCTCTTCAAAGAAGGAATTCCCAGAGGTACTTTGTCAAGTCTGTTTTAACAGGTAAAATTAGCCTCTTATTTCCTTTGTTAGAATATTGAAACTCAAGGAAGAGACCAACTCCTCAATTTTTCACAGAGAGTAGACTATAGTCTTTTTATAATCTCAATCTCCTGCTAGTTCTCCTACAGGTGTAATGACTGAAATGGGAAAATGAGCCAAGCTGCATTTGGTGCTGTGACCTTTCAGTTGTATCAACAGCAACTATCTGTGCTGCAAGACATTTGTTTTGATCCCATGTAGTAATACCAGACTGCATATCTCTCTTTTAAGGGGCTGACTATTCCTATTTCACTGTAAATAACACATATGCTCTGACTGAGTGAGAAAAGGGATGTGTGGTTTGCACAGGGTAAGTTTCTAGATTGCTCAATCAGCTTCTTTGTGTGTAACACACAGTAAGATGTATGAGGTTTAGATCATTAAACCAGGGATTATTTAAATTTTATTAAAACTAAACAGACATTGAACTCTATTTTTTCCTCTAGTTATCATCAGCCTTTTCCCTGGAGCAAGGAAAGCCATCGACTTCATTGACATCTGGCTCTCAGGTTCCACTTAGTACACATGCAGTCATGAACCTTTACTGCTGCAGGGTCAACATTTATCTTGTTTATCATCAAACCTGAGCAATGAGACTTAGATTCTTAGATTTAAAAAATCCCTTTTGTTGAGCACATTCCCCCTTGACTTTGAAAACATTGAAAATGCTTTATCTGAAGAAAAGAGTAGAAAAGTTACTGTGGGATGAAATCTTGTCAAACTCTCCATGTAAATAACACAATGCTTTAAATTGTATCATTGATTTCCACCTAGTCTAAAACAGAATTAGAAGTTATTACACACACTTTAGGTTTCTAAATGTAGGAACTGTGTGTTCTGGGAGCTGATGATCACTTACTGTCTGTTTGACATCATGTCACAAAAAACCTGCTGTTAGTCTTTATGTTCAGCAGTTTATCAATCCTAATATCCAAGGGCAGTGAAATTCTTTTCCAACTTTACAAATCATGCATCCAAAAAAGGTAAAAGGAACAGGTCAGGGCGAAGACACAATATTCCTTCTCCAGCTTTAGATGTTGAGATAATAAATCTTGGGATTGTAAGCCCTTCTCCTGCCCCTTTCAGTTTAATTTATTTAAAAACACTTGGTGAACAGCCTTTTACAGTCCCTGAGGGATGAAATTCTGAAGTTGTAGTACTCTTGTATAGTCTTGTGTTAACAAAACCATTTATTCTATAACGTATGCTTTCCAAATTATTCTCAAAAATGAGATTTTGCAGTTCTGCAGATTTATTGATCACAAAATTTCTTTAAAAATCTGGATATTAAGGCTCCATTATTTTTAATTTTCACTGTTTCATCAAGAGAAAGAAATTGGAAATTTTTCTCATTTTAGGCATTTCATTTGGAAAGAAACAGTAAGGTGAAATAAGATCGTGGCTTTGGAGATGTGTTTTGGCTCTGCTGGACATATCATAGAAAATTAATACACCATGTTTCCTTCAAAGCATTCAGGTTTCATGACTTTCTTTTATGGTAGGACTTTACAGGTCCAAATTAGCCACTACTTTTTCAGTAGTCAGGCAAGCAAACTTTTAGGGAAAGCCTTCTAAAGGGGAAAAATTATATAGGAAAATCCTTCTACAACTTCCACTTTTGTCAAAAGATTCCCAGAACATTAGTCTAGTGACACGTGGTGTGACTCTTGGGGATGGTCTTGTGCAGGGCTAAGAGTTGGACTCCATGATCTTTGTGGGTCCCTTCCAGCTCAGCAGATTCTGTGATTCTGTGACATCTATTTTCACACATCTTCAGGGAAGCACATGCTTTAATTTGTTTTTGAAAATTAAGTAGAAATAAAACAAATTGGGGGAAGGGGAGGAGAGGGGAGATTTGTGCAAAGAAGACCTGGGAAATTTTATTTTTTTTTATCTGTTTCAGAAGCTGATAATTTATTCAGAGATTATGCTCAGCATCTGTTAATTGTACTCTTGCACTTGTTGATACCTCTGTCTTTGAAGTGAAAGACTAGCTATGAAACTGTTCTTTTAATCCCTCCACTCTTCCTGGATCTTATTGACTAATAAAACTTTGTTTTCTTTTAGTGGAAATGACAGAACCTAATAAAATAAAAACTGTATGACAATATCCATTCTAATCCTGCAACATCAGATTTTCTGAAGTGAAGCTTCTGCCTTTAAGGTCTCTCTCTTCTAGACTTGGTTAATATCTGAAGGCACACTATTACATGATGGAGCTTTCCTATTTTCTTTTCTTTTCTTCTGTCCTTAAAGTTTAAGGAAAACTAATTCAGACAACACTTGATGGAGGGGGTAACAATTTATTTCCTCCGGTTGGACATATATATCTGTTCATTATTCATTTTTTGGTTTTTTGCAGTTCTGATTCCCAAATGACTGAGGTAGAAAATTTGGTTTGCTATGGAAGTTCCCTGCACTGCGTAGTGCTTTGAAATATTTTTGTGAACGTTGCTTTTCATTTACTGAATTATGACCGATTGAAAAGTGACCTGCAGGCATGCAGAGTATGTTTGGTAGGGGCTTTAAATAGCTTCTGAGTGACTTCAAGATCAGAGGAAAGTTGTGATTTCCATACAAATTCGATTAGTAAATGTGTGAAGGGAATGCAGGGACATGTGTTCCTCACAGGCCATAATGTACACAGGAGAACATCGGGGGGAAAAAGCTCTGACATTCCTCTCGTTATGCAACTCAGTCCAGATTTGCTGAAACTCTTGGCCTTTGGGTGTCTGAACAGGGAAATGCATAATTAATTTCAAGTAGGTGTGTGAGTCTATTTAAATAAATCATGTGCAAGTGCTTTTCTGGGACATCATAGCACAAAGTACTTTTTAAATACTTCCTACAGTTTGAGGATAGCCAAGTATTCTGATGGTCTCAGGGTTTTTCTTATCATATAGGTCTCAGTGCATTTCACCCCTAGAGATAAATAGTACTATAAATAGATATTTTAGATAGATATTTTGTCATCACTGGAATAAAAATCTCAAGTGTCCTTACATTCCTTCCTTGTGGCATTCTCAGTTATATATCACACACATATTGATATCAAAATTCAGTCTCAAAATCTGAGAGTGATACAAGTCCCCATGATCTCGCAGTGTGGCACAAAGGAAAGGTGATTATTTGTTGTGAAGCACTGTTGAATATTTTGGGTTTCGGGGATGTGATGAAATTCAGGAACTTGCCCACTTCTAAGAGTTGTGTGGGTTTCTTGAATATTTTTGTGTACATGCACTATGAGTGATCTAACCTGTATTTTATCTATTTAAGGTGAGTTTGGAGAAGTGTGCAGTGGACGTCTGAAGACACCAGGAAAAAGAGAGATCCCTGTTGCAATTAAAACTCTAAAAGGTGGCTATATGGACAGGCAGAGGAGAGATTTCCTGAGGGAGGCCAGTATCATGGGACAATTTGATCACCCAAATATAATTCGCCTCGAAGGAGTTGTTACAAAAAGTAAGTCACTAACATCTTTAGTTAAGACTTTGATGGTGGTTTTCCTATTCTATGTCACTTAGTATCAAAATTAAGCATCTATGTTCGCATTCAATATGCATTACAGTTCTCAGAAATCTTCCAAATCGTGAAGTGACAGTTGATACTGCAAAGTTCGGGACCAGAGTAGGAAATGCAAAGCCTATCTGTTTTCAATTAGAAATGTTTTAGTTTTTAACAACAATCATCCTTATTTGAGTGATGTCTTTACAGGTTCTTATGAAATAGACTGGAGAGATTGCCTGTAGGCAAGTGGAGAAAACCATAAAAGTAACTGAGTTGACAATGAAGTCAAATTGTCTTGAAAAGTATCAGTTATACTCTTCTTTTTGCAGAAGTATTTATTATATATTTGGTGGAGACTTGCTGGTTTCGGTACCAGAAGAGATAAATTTCCTGTTTTAAAGAAATAAAATGTAAACACTTTGTAACTTATTGTTCACTTTACTAAAATTCCAGAATAATCTACAAAATGTCTTACTGTACGTAACAGTTGCGGCTGCCAAGAATATCCCTTGCCTCTGAAATCCAGCGTTTTTAGTGGTGTTCTGGACTTTTCTGAAATGCTGAAATATCTAGTGCTCACTTAAGTATTAAGTAAAAAGACAATAACATACATGTCATTTCTTTAATGCCATCTTTTTCCAGTAATGAATTAAAAAACTGGAATTAAAAAAACTATTTTCTTTTCAAAATTGATTCATCTCAACTAAGCCATGTTGCTTGCTAATTTGCAGTACTTATATTTTTCTTTTAAAGGGAAGTGTTGTGTGTGTAAAACAATAATGTCCTCTTACCTTCACAGTAAATACAGTAAATATGTTATGAATATTTCCTGTTTTCACCTTGTTACAACATCAGAAGCTGTGTTTGGAAAACACAAAGTACTAGAACAAAGAGGGAAGTATAGCTCCTGAACTCGTGCTGTTGGAATGGAATTGCAACAGGTTTATGGAATGACCCGCCCATGTGCAAATCTGTCTCCCTGTGGTTCTAAATTAAGAAGAAGAGGACCTTTTTCTTTCTTCACACAGTATTGCAAGGGTAAATTTATTATTATTTAGGTATGTTTGGTTACTAGACTAACAAAATCCATGGCCTTGCAGAAAAGATGCAGCTTTAGTCTCGCCATTGCTCTGCTCTGCTGACAGCAAACAAGAACACAACTTAACCCAGGCTGAGCAGCTCTGGGGACCTTTGTCAAGAGATGTAAATATGTAGGAACTTAATTGAATTTAGCTCCTTGCTTCATACTGAACTAGCATAGCAGCAATTAAATTCCACCAGTCTTCCCCAGTACCACAGGTATGACCAGGATCCACGTGGTGGATCTAGGAGGGTGTTTCTCGCTCCTGAAAAATGCAAATGGCTGTGATTTATGAACAATGTTTGAATCCAATTAAATGGCACACACAGAATACAGTATAATGTACTTGGCCATGGCATGATTGTTTAATCTTTGCCCCATTTATAAATTTTCTTTCCATAATGACTTTTCATGAGCCTAGAGAGAAATCAAGATTGCATTCAGAGAGCAGAATCAAACAGATAAATCAGTGCTCCAGCATTTGTTAATGTTCTACAGGAAAGGTGATTATAGACACCTGTAAGCCAAAAAGTCATCATTAGCAGCTCTGCTTTTCCCTAAGCTGTCAACAAACTTTATTATTGTTTTGTAATGTTTGTTTAAAGGTAATATAAAAATAGTAGGTACTACTGTTATAGTTACACTGTCCTAAAAAATTATGCATTTCTCAGATATAAAATAGTACTGAAAGTTTGAAAGAAAATATTTTTGGGTCAGGCAGGTTTATAACAAACAAACAAACAAACAATTATAAAACCGCAGTTATAGAATGAAAAAAGACTACATGAATTATCAGCAAATTTCACCCCAAGGCATATAAAGTCCAAGTTATATAAAGTGTGAAGGACAAGGTTGTGCAGCTGTGCTCTGCTGCAAGAAGAAGCCAGAAGGAAGGCTGAGCAATGGACACATCCACCCTGCTCTGCTTCCCTCCTTCCAGTTTATCCTTAGGATGGTGCCTTGCATTTACACAGCCCCAACTGTGCTATTTAGAGAACAACATGACTTTAGCTGGGAGAAGAACAGTTGTCTTGCACTTCACTAAATCGTAAGTGTAGAACTGCAGAATCCACCACGGGACAGAAATTTCCTGTAACTAAAACATGTGCTATAAAAGTCAGACAGAACTTTGTCCTAGCAGAGTTATTTATGTAATGATAGCATGATTAAAAGGTGTTCTGTGCTGAAACTAAGATTAATAACAGCAAAAACTATTTATCTGATGTACATTACAATTCCACTAACCTATAAAGGCACATCAGATGCAGTAAATTTGATTAATAGATGTGTTATGCTGTTCTTAGCACATGCTTTCCTCTTTGTCATTAACTTCTAGCTGTTGCTGGTATATATTGCACCAGTTTATAAGCAGTACCTTCCATTCCAGTGTCATTGACTATTGAACAAAAAAGAAAAAGGGTTTGGTTGTAATAAGCAGAAGTGCTCTACCAAGTCAATAGGTATTGACTGGGGCAATAACAAATTCTCCTGTTCATTACAAATGAGAGCTTTTATCTGGTGCTACCAGCTAAGCAGATGTTAACTTTTAAATTATGCTGTTTTCAAAATTGCTGTGTAATATGTACTGTACAGGATGAAAAAATGTGAAACTAAGCCTGCTCAAAAGTAGGTCTGAAACAGAGGTTTAATTCCTTTTCCTTATTGCTTCATTTCTCATTTGTCCTAACCACAGACCCCAATCACAGAGAGCAGTAGGCAGAACAGTTGCTGTAGCACAAGCTCTCTGTTAGCAGAGAGTTCATTTCAAGGGCAATTTGCTGGGCCAAGGCAGATACACCATAGCACAGAATCTGAATCTGATCCCTCACTTGTATTGCTGATCAGAAGTCACAGGGAAAACTTTATTCCTGTTAGGTTTCTTTTAGCAACACCATTCCTTGCATGGTTTGCCATAAAAGGGCTGCTCATTGCCTTGCAAATTTATCATAGGTGCTTAGGCACTTTATGTAAACATTCATAAATGTTAGTGTTTATGGATTTAATACAGTGATAATTTTTGGATCTCTTCTTGGGTGTTTCAGGGCATGCTCTGATCAGTTTTATGTCCCTGGCCAAGCTGCTGCTATTTCAATAACAAGTATAGGAAAAATAACTTCTTTCTCCAGTACAAACATATATGACCATCATTGAAAGCTGGGCTATGCAGAAAATGTCTTCCACTTCTACATCCTGTCGAAACCTGTGTTGCAGATTTCCTATTAAAAGTCTGTAAAATAAATTAAAGTAAACATCTGACAGCATAACTATGTCTACAAAAGACATGAAAAATGGTCTCTGACTATTGTAACTGTACTAGAGGAAATCCAACCTGGAATCTGTAGTTAGTTTAGCTTGATGGTATCTTACACAGCAGTTTAAAGCACAGTCTAATCAGTGCTATGTAATGCTGTGTCAATATGAAATAACAGGGTATGAGAGGGCTTTATTATATTTATAACCTGTTTGTTACCCTTCCCCTCAAGCTTTACCCTAAATAACTTTCAGTTGTTAAAAATGATTTATGAGGAATTGTTTCTGTTTCCAAATTTTGACTACTGGAGGATTTGCACCTGTCACACATACAACAGTAATCTTTTTAAGGCGTTCATTTTCTTTACCCCCAATATGGATATTGATATTCTCCAGAAGAATTTTCAGAAAAGTCCCAAAATGAAGCTAAATGAAGACAGCACCTAGGCTTTTGGTTCTGTGTAAACTCACATCCTCAAACACTGAGCCTGGGTTTGGAATGACACTTCCAACTCCCTTATTGTCTCCTCACTGTTTTGATTTAGTGGTTTTCAAATTGTGAATGCAATTCCAGCTCTGAAATCTTTAGTCAGTCATCTAGCAGATTGAATTCAAAGCTTTAATCATTAATTTTCTTTTCAAATAATTGTATATAACCTGTTCAGTGCAACAAAAGCCCTAAAATCAGTGCACCTTACCTTGTCCACAAGGAAGGCAAAGCAGCATCATGATCCTTTTTCACTACAATTTACTGTATGTAACTCTTCATATCCGACTCCTTTTTCATTTTTCAAAAATGCAGGACATAATGAATTCATTTTTTTCAGCCAAGACATTGTGCTCTGGGCCTTTGAGCCCTTAGTGTAATGAATCTAATGTTACCCTTTTCTGCAACCTGTTAACAGGTTGCAACTATTAAGTGGAGTTCAGAATTCCTTTGAGAAGGCGAAATATTTTCCAGAACGTGTGTTTGTTATACACATAATTTGGGGTTTATACAAAAGGATTGAGGAAAATTTGTGGCAGTATTTGAAATATCCTTGCCTTGGTCATGTTGTTGAAATTGTACTCCCAGGAAGTGTGATTCTGCAAAGTTTAAATGCTGACCTTTTAAGAGCCAAGTTGTGACTATTTGACATAGGCCGGACCATGATAGCTTAGAAAATATGATTATGATTATACACAAAAATACAGGACCTACATTACAGTATTTATCACGCAATTCTGAAAAACAAAACCTTTTGGACCAGCAGAAAACATATGATGTTAATAAATTCCATGTTAGCATTATAGGTTACACAACACAGTGTAACCTATTTCAAATCTTACATTTTCATCTGTCAGTAGTCTCAGTACACCACTGAAACACCAAGAGCATTTCCAGGCACAGATGTGCTTGCTGGAGGCCAAAATGTCTTCAAATCCACCCCTTGAACCCATGTCAGGCATTTGCACCTGCCTTATGCAACACAGGAGGGTATGAAGATATTATTCATCCATGGATATCTCGCATTCTGATTGTGGACAATCCACTGTGACACAAAACAAGGGTGACACTATGTGTGTGTCATATTAACCAGAGGGCTTTACATAAAGCTGAATTTGTCTGATGAACCATATTGTA